AACAAGATCATCAGGTTTTACACAAACTTGTTGATATTCATGTTCATATTTGAATCCCCTTTTGTAATAAATACAAATTGTATTAATTTAGATCAAATGCATGATAAAAGAATTTTCGCTATTAAAGCAAATGTGAAATATATTACTAGCACAATAATAATATTAATGTGTGAATAATTAAAACAAACAAAAAAATACACTTTGAATTAGAGTAACTGATTCTCCTGTATCAGAAATTATTTTAGTGGTTTTCTTCTTGCATGAAATTTAATCATGGACACCAGAAAGGAAGCGCTGCCACACCATATCCACTGTCTTACTCCTCTTGGATTTGACCACGGCTTTCTTTCTTTTTTTTTAGCAGTGGATATCAGAAATGTCAGCCTGCACATCTGAGACTATACACAACAGTGCACACATGAACACACTGTATTTACAACAGCACACCACAGAAATGAACTGGACCATGCCAAACTGTTTGGGTTTGTAACAGAACTGAATTACCAGAAGCAGGAAAAATTACCTCAATAATGCACATAATGATCAGAGTGTTTATATTAGTTTGATATTTCTTTGTTTCATTGTGATAATGTTAATCTGTGGTTTTCTTTGTAGGTAAGCATGTACCCAAATTCTTTTAATGATTTAAGAACCTGTTACAAGTGTGACAATTTGTTCACTAATTATCAGTTCTCCATTTGCCTTTTACAGGAGAAAATCATACATGTTTGGCATGACATAAGGTAAATAATGACAAATTTTAATTTAAAACTTTAATAAAAATGTACTGTTCCTTTATCTACAATATTTCTACTACTCCACTAAATATGCCTACCATTGTTGAGATAACAGGCCTACTGGTTCTTTATTTGGTCAAAAACAACTATACAGTGCCATCGAGTGGATATTTTGGGTGCTTCAAAGCACTAATATTAAATGTTAGAGTTCTGTAAATATATTTACTAAATATATCATACTATAATCATACAATGGCATCTCATTGCAAGACAAAAAAAAAAAAAAGAAAGAAAGAACCAGCAACAATTTGCTTTAACGGCTCAGTCTAAAGTGATGTTTATCATTAGTCACACAGTGTAGTCTTATACATATTTTGATCGCTGATTCCGGATAATGAAAACACATTGCATCTACACCTGCCATTTGACATGAGACTCGATAAATGGTATCTGGGGAACTGTGAAATGAATCGTATGGATATGGATATATGTATGTGTATATGGATAAGACGGCTGATATTGATTTTTTTAACCAGATTATTCATAGCTTCAATTATATCAAATGATACATGAAAACTTAAGAGTCAAAAATGTCACATTTAGATATTTGAGTAACACACAAGAATGGACCTCATTGGTTCTTTTAGAAGCTCTAACGTGCTGTGTAAGACAAGAGAATGAACCTCATTGGTTGTCCCGCGTCAATTGAAAATTCTTGAGCATCTGTTTACCACAACTAATGTGTGAGTTGAGGAATATTTATACGTGAATACAACCTTAATTTAAATCTGTACAGTGTATAAAGCGATCGTGTCTCTGCAGAAGATTTTGGACTAAACTGCTCAATTCATATATGATTAGTTTTTCGATCTTTATGAACTGTTTCAAGCGTCAAAAAGTGTAAATGTTGTGTAGCTGTCAATGAAGGGACAGAAACTGCTCATGTTTCATCAAAAAGATCTTCATTTGTGTTTCGAAAAAAAAAAAGTCTTGCGAGTCTGGATCTGGAACGAATTAAAGTTATGAAATAATTTTAATTTTTGGTTGAACTAACCCTTTAAATATCTTGGGATCTCAAAGTAAAACAGATTTTTATTTATTTTATTTTTAATAAATTAATAAACAAAATAAATGTATTTATTTACAATTACAAGGAAATGAGCCAAAACATCATTCCCTTAAGTAAATTAAGACCATATGTGCAAATTCCATACCATTAAAGGAGCATTTCACCCATTTCAACATTAATCTTTATTGAAAGTGGATCATACTGTATATGTAGTCGAAATGTAAAATAATGTTTGAATTTGGTGCCCTCTTGACCGAGAAAAGGCCGAGGGGTGCATTTGTATGCAAGACAACAACTCCCACAATGCACCACATTGCACAGCTCAGCAAGCCACTCCCACTAATCCGGAACAGCGCAAACAGAGAATTCACTCTTCCGTCTACAAGGCTAAGTTATCTGTCACCAGAGTTTGAAATTCATTTCACACAAAATTTCTAGTTAGTTGGCTGTGGCGAGCAGGACGATCGAAGGTGAGGGACGTAAGAAGACGGCGCAAGGCCGGTGGCATGAGTGATAATGAATCAGGTCACACGTCTCTCATGGAGGAGCGAAAGCATAAAATGAGGAGCGACGACAGAAGATCGAGAGAGAAATAGGCCTGATTTTATGATGTGTTTTGTTTCTGTTGTGAGTAACGTTACAGCAGTCGTCAATGAGGGGCTGCTGGCTCACTTTCGTTTTGTATTTGTTCATTTTACTATCAAAATGTTTAAATGTTCGCCGGTTCCTGCCGCCTTTATCCCACAACAACAAACCCTGTAACTTTACATTGACAAACTCATTAGTTGTTTGTATTTATTTCTGTATAGTGAATTACTACTGAATTAGTTACAGATACATCATGAAACAGTTACACATAAATCACAATACCACTTTCTCACAGAAATAATAAATAAATGCTATTGAATCTTCAAACCAAATTAAACACGATCATTAAGTTTAACCTAGGATTTTAACAAGAAAATACCAATCCCATAATTAAACTCATGTACATGTTACTTCTGTCAAGTCTCAATATATTCAAACACAGTCAATCATAAATTGTCCTACCAGTTGCGTCTTTGAATGATCAGGAGCTGTAATCATATATGCTTTTCCAGGAATAAATGAGAGAACCAACTGAAGTCTCTACAAACATTTAAAATGCCATGCTCTCTCTGTGGGTGCGCAGGCAAATATAGTCCCAAAAGCTACTTCCCAAAAAGTTGGTTCCACCAACTTTTGTTGCATGGATGCCCCCTGCAGTTTGGGAGTGCTCTGAGTGTCCTGGGTGAATCTAGGCTTGGAGTGCTCAGAACAACTAAAGCAAAGTAACCATGAATTGACACAACAATACCTGGATGTTCAATCAGGCGAAACTAGGATGGTTCACATCATAATAATAATATAATAATTCGTTACATTTATATAGCGCTTTTCTGGACACTCAAAGCGCTTCACATAGAAGGGGGGATCTCCTCAACCACCACCAATGTGCAGCATCCACCTGGATGATGCGACGGCAGCCATATTGCGCCAGAACGCTCACCACACACCAGCTTACTGGTGGAGAGGAGACAGTGATGAAGCCAATTGGTGTATATGGGGATGATTAGGAGGCCATGATGGACAGAGGCTACTGGGCAAATTTGGCCAGGATGCCGGGGTTACACCCCTGCTCTTACGAAAGACATCCTGGGATTTTTTATGACCACAGAGAGTCAGGACCTCGGTTTAACGTCTCATCCGAACGACGGTGCTCTTTTTGACAGCATAGTGTCCCCATCACTTTTGCTGGGGCGTTAGGACCCACACAGACCACAGGGTGAGCACCCCCTGCTGGCCACACTAACACCTCTACCAGCAGCAACCTGGCTTTCTCAGAAGGTCTCCCATCCAGTTACTAACCAGGCTCAGCCCTGCTTAGCTTTAATGGGCAACCAGTCTTGGACTACAGGGTGATATGGCTGCTGGCTTAAACATCACAACACAAACGTCCGTGTGCTCGTCTGATTCAGAGATTTCATCCAGGAGAAATTACCATTGTTGAATTCTCTGCAGCAGACGGACTCCATGTGTGTTCTTAGTTCACAACGAGAGCACATGCACCAGCAGTCCGCCTCAGCTCGAGCCAATCAGGGCTCATCGACCGCAACAGGCAGCCGCCTCCTGTTCCTCCATCAGCCTCACATGCTCTTCACTATACTTCTACTCATAAAGACAGCCACGAACATCGGATTCGAGGAGCAGAATTTCAAAATCCTCTTCTTCCATATTATGTTTAGTTTCTTCCGTCATTATCATACTTCCTATCTCCACAGCGCTTGTTAGCTTAGCTTCCAAACAAGATGGCGGATATTGATTCAGTATCTGCAAGTGAGGTCCCACCCACTGATCTGTAATAGGCTTGTAGGGTGAGTGAGCCCCACACCCTTGAATGATAATGAGCTAATGTTTGTAGTCTCTACACTTTTGAATGAAATGTGACTTCCTGCTTATTATGACGCAAAATGACGATTTTTACGTCACGACAAGCAGGAAGTAAAATACTCAAGTCCTTGTTTCTCCCATCTAAGGGGAAAATAAGGGAATAAACCATGACCATTCAAAAATTTGACTGGGTTTCTAAAGATACAAAGCTTAATGCAAATGGGTGAAGTGTCCCTTTAACTTTCTGCATGTGTCACTTGGCAAAGATATTGGTGTTCACCCATGTGCAATTCGCAAACAAAAGAAGAACCAGTTTCTGTGAATGAGAGAGAGAAAGAGAGAACGAAAAACTATCACGCAAACTATCCTTGATTACAACATTTATGCACACATGGATTTAAGGACAATTTGAATCAAAAGGTGAATCAAAATAAAAGAAAATGGTTGATATTATGATTTATAAATGATTAAAGACAGGGTAGGTATTTGTTCCAGAATTTTTTTTTGTTGTTATGCTGGTGTAAAGTCTCTTCGCATCCTGATTGCAATCACTAAGTTATGTGGTCTAAATGTATGTATATGTATACAGTCTGTGGAAGGTGTAGGACCATAAAATGTTTGTCCAATCACAGGTAGGATTTCAATATTAATACTCTACACAACCATCAACTGCCTAGGGGAAAAATCAGGTTGGGTGGAGGCAACAAAACTCCTTATACTTCACAGGCCAATAGGGACTTGACAGTAGAAGAAACAGCAGTCACAACACAGACCAGAACAGAAGTATGAATTTTAACACCGTCTTCAGTGTGGCCGGGGCCATACTTCTCAACATAGCAGGTAATTCTACAAATAATTTGCTTTGTTACATTATTTATGTTTATTTTTTAAAGTATGTTAAATAATTGACTAAAATAGAATTGAATATGTTTAAAGTCTTAACTCGTAACTCGCACAAACGTATATGTGAAAATAGCAACAAAATTCAAGAAAAAATAAGATAAACAATAAAGTAACAAGAGAAGTCATAGAATATAGACGTAAAATGATAAGTGATGATATTTAAAATATTTGAAAAAATAAATCATTTAATTTTCTTTCTTTGTAACTGTTGAATAGCCTTGTTTAATATCCTACAATCTATGAAATGTTATTAAAACATTTATTAAACATTAAAGCCGTGATGGTTTTGAATTCCTTGAAATATGATTGAAAATTGAAAATACAGTTAAGTGCAACATGTCATATACCTACCTAAAATTAATGAGAACATTATAATTGTGTGCTTGGGACATAGCTTTTAATAGGGAGACTTTTGTTTTTGAAATCAGGCTCTTAAAAATTCCATAAACTTTTGGATTTATATTTATCAGCCAATTTAATTTATCGGCTTTCAAATATAAAGAAGTATCGGTATCTGTATCAACCAGAATTTTCAGATCGGTGGATCCTATACTTTTTAGTTCCTGGTTAAATATAAATGAAATGTAAATTGTTTGTTAAAGTTTGTCGTTTTGTTTTATTATTTTGAATAATAATTATGTAAATGTTTTTGGAAACACATTTATAAGCCTATATTTACCATAGATAGCTGACTGTGTGAAGATGCTTTCTTATATTTTCAGGTAAATGAAGGGCTCTTTTAATATATGTAGGGCTAATACTTTTACTGTAACAATTAATTGTCGGTGACTCTTAAAATCCTTTTTATGAATGTATAATCTTTTTTTCTATTTACAATTTGTCCGTTTATCAGCTCTGTAAGTGTTTCCTCCTGTATGGGATCAAAAAAACATTCACATGTTTTTTTTCTTTTTTTCTTCTTATATAGCCAGCCTTGGTCAATTGGATGGTAAGTTGTTCATTCAAACTCATGTTCAGTCACACAGAATGTTTTGTTTCAAATGTGTTAATTAAATGTGTTAATCAATTATCTTTTCTCTCATAAGTATGTGGCCAAGCCACCCCCCAAAACACCAAGATTATTGGAGGGCAAAATGCGACGGCAGGGTCTTGGCCTTGGCAAGCCAGCATTCAGCGTGTGTCCTTTGGAGGCTATTTATGCAGTGGGACTCTAATCAATAAAGAATGGGTTCTGTCTGCAGCTGACTGCTTCAGAAAGTATGGAGTGCCCACATTTAAATATATATATATATATATATATATATATATATATATATATATGGAGATATATTAGTGTAATTAAATCAGTCTTGTATTTACAGCAACCCCATATCTGACTTGGTGGTCTACTTGGGACGTCTAACCCAAAATGGCTTAAACCCACATGAGACAAACAGGACAGTGATTAAAGTCATCACACATCCTGAATATGATAATCTTGACCACAAACTAGCACTGCTCCAGCTGTCTTCACCTGTGACTTTCTCTGATTACATTAAGCCAGTCTGTCTGGCTGCTGCTGGTAGTATATTTGTTGATGGTACGGAGAGTTGGGTCACCGGATGGGGCGTGATCAATGAAGAAAGTGAGGAATATCACACCCATTCAAGTTGTCACAAAAATTTGCTAGAAATTATGAAGCATTTTATGATGTTTCCACTAATCAATATATTTATTTTGTGACAGATTTCAAGTTTTCTGACATACTGCAGGAACTGAAGAGCGCTGTTGTGAACAACTTTAAATGTAATGTTGCCCATAGAGGCATCATTACAGACAACTTGATATGTGCTGGATTTTTAAATGAGAGTGGCAAAGGCCCATGTATGGTGAGACATTTTATCAGGCACTTTTTATCCATAACCAATGTTTTTCTCTATAAAAGTGAGAGACCTAAATGTTGTCTCATTTTCTGGGTCACTCTACTAAATAACCAACCTAGATCTTTATCCATTTGTTAATCATCATAGCTGTGGTTGCAGGAACTCTTACTGTAAACTGTATTAACAACACAATAGGTTTTGCTGGGGGTAAAACATTTTTACATCTACTGAAGTACTAATATCTAAGAAAAGACGAAATGGTTGTTTCAATGAAAAATCATCCAGTGTAAGCGGTCACACATTGGAGTGTCAATAAATGATAAGATAACTTGAATTCTTCACTTCCAAAACATGTCAAAGTAAATGTCCGGTTAGATTTTTTAGTTTTTCACTGTATTTAAAGGCAATTCATCTTTGGCTAAGCCACGCCCTAGAATGTAGATTGACCAATCACAGCGCAGCCAAGAATGAGCTCCCACAGAGGTCGGACACTTTTTCACAGCGCTCCATTGACTTTCAACACAGGCGTCTCATATTTTTGGTCTCGGCAGGCTATTACCGTCGTAGTTTTATCAAAAAATATGGTTAAACGTTGTGCCTCAGGCATTTGTAACACAGATACGCATTTCCCAGAGAGGTTGGAGGGGGGTGTCCGTTTTTTCCCTTCCCAAAACCGAAGTAAAATCCTGACAAGTGTCGTCTTTGGAAACTGTGTGGATGTCCTCAGTCAGCTAAACCCCGCAAAGATCAACAAGCACATCTTTTTTTTGCTTCTAACCTTACTGTGAGTGTGAAGTTATACTAGTTAGACCGTTTTATAATGTTTTAGGTTATGATTTCGGTTCTCATACCGATTGTTGATACGCTACAGTGTTTCCCAACCCTGTTCCTGGCGGCACACCAACACTGCGCATATTCTTTATCTCCCTAATCAAACACACCTGATTCAACTCATCAGCTCATTAACCCATCTGATCATGAGCTGATGAGTTGAATCAGGTGTGTTTGATAAGGGAGACAAAGAATACGCACAGTGTTGGTGTGCCGCCAGGAACACAGGGTTGGGAAACACTGCGCTAGCACACTCTGTTAATAAATACAACGTTATACTCGTGTAGTCCGTTTGCTTTATAATAACGATTAGAAGTGAATAGAGACCTACTCAGCTTTCCATGAACAGTGTTGCTCCCTGTTAGCCTCCGTCTCGATTAGTAGGAAATGCGGTGGTTCATTTTTTGACTGTGACCGGTAACGTTATGCTTTTGCCTCTATTTTGGATGCCTTGTTGTTTCTTGCGTTTCACCTGTATGTCTTGAATATGGCCTTCGAACGCATATTGCAGCCCCTTTTGCCCACTTCTATCGGACACTTTATCTGCTGCTTTTAGTGCTTTATATAAAAGTTTGATAACATTTCAGCAGGAAGAGCTGTTACAGAATAAGCCATGCAATGCGCAGATGAAGTTTGACGGATGTAGCAACAGTAACTAAGGGGGACGGGGCTTAGCCAAAGGTGAATTCTTACCACCAAATTATGATAATTTTTCACACTGTCTCATACTTATGTCTGTATCCATTGTTGACAGTGATATTGTAGAGATTTAAAATATGTCTTTGCAGGGAGACGGTGGAAGTCCACTGGTCAGTAAGCAGGGCTCCAAGTGGATTCAGTCTGGAATTACGGTGTACTCCATAGGATGTGGTCAACCTGAATATCCTACTGTATACATCAGAGTGTCTGAATATCAGGACTGGATCAGCAATTACACCAACAGCAGCATGCCTGGATTTGTCCCATTCCCCCTGATTCTTTCTGTCGGAGATGGAGACTCGATCAACCTCCTCCCATTTTCTGTTGCTCTCGCATTTTCCATCATCCCTCTCATCTTCTTACACTTTTAAAGTTTTATGAGTCATGATCATTTTATGGATACAGTTCAGTAATGATTATGGCAGTTTTAAATTCACATAGTAGAAAGGTGATTATTTTTATAATCTCTTCTTAGATAAAAACTTTCATATTGATTAGATTCTGGGATCATACATATGATTATAATGAACACATAAAACTTAGTTAAGCATTCTCTTAAAAGAGATAACCTTTACTAACAGGATTCATTACAAGTGTACCGCATTTCTTTATTTAATACGATTATATTCAAATAAATCAGCACCTGTTGCAATGTGATCATGCACATTGTCCTGTATTTTTCTTGAACTAATCATTTACTTTGTTGAATAAAGAAAACATGTATACAAATATTTTTGGTGAAAGCTTTTGAATGATTGTACATCTCTATTAAAAAGTACTGAAGTGAGTGTTAGTGTACATGAAAGTCAAAGTGAATTTCTGAAATCATACAATTTCAAGATTTTACTTTTGTTTTCAAAGCTGCATAAACCTCATTCTATACATTAAGGACACATTTTGACATGCTGATGCTTTTAAGCTTAAAAGTGTGTGGGGGGATGAAAATAACTGATAACATTTATTCATTTAGCTGACTTACAATTGCTATATACGTCAGTGGTCACACACCTCTGGAGCAACTAGGGGTTAAGTGTCTTGCTCAGGGACACATTAGTGTCTCACAGTGGATTCGAACCCGGGCCTCTCACACCAAAGGCATGTGTCTTATCCACTGCACCATCACAACCCCTTACAAACAACAAAAATGGCGTGCACATCCCAAACACCAGAATTGGGCTCAGGTGCAGGACAACTAAGTGATATAAACAAATAAAGAACTGTGAAGTCCGCACACTGAAAATTATGCTCCAAAAGAATTTATTAAAAGGCAACGTTTCGACCCTCAGGTCAGGACCCTTCTTCACATCAGGCTTCACCACACTCTTATTTAACAAATCAATCCCGCAGTGTACAAAAGAAGAAAAACAATAGGTTATTGTAAAATGTATTGCACAGACATTTGCATGAAGATTAGTTGTTCATAAAACACACAACTTGCAAACGTGTGGAAAAAGTCCCCAAAAAATGCAATTCATCGTGACTACATTGATACACATTTCTGTCTCCCTATGCACATGACGTAAGCTAAATGTGGAGTCTCCTATTCGACACCTACAAAATTATACTGTACTAGGCAGTTGAAACCTTCTTCGAGTCAGACGACATCTCGCCCCAACACTATCACTTGGAAATAAAGTCTATAGTGTTCCACTTCCTCACTATCACTTAGGAATGAAAATAAGATCTCTAGTGTCTAGCCTTCTGCAGCAGTAATCAGACAGACTCCAGTCAATGCCTTCCAATACACTTTAATTATGGCCGGGTGGATCTCAGACCAATTTCAGAGAGAAATCCCCCCCAACAAAAGAGTACAAAAGTTGTTATAGTAGCATTGCCAAAGTGACATGATTCATTAACCTACATCAATTTTCTACAATATGTGGTTCTTCATACCATAGATTTAATTCAGCAAACATTTCTGTTACTAGGTAAAAGCAAATCTGGATTTCTTGTTTACTTCCCATTGTTATTCAAGTCATGAGGTTAAATGTCTAGGTTTGTTTCTTTTTTTAGTTCTCAGACACACTAACTTTGGCCCAAGTGCTGAGTACGTTAAGTTTTCGAAAGCATATAAATGTTAATCCTGCAAGAAAAATAAAAATAAATCTTTCTTTCATTATTTCCTCTTGTACTACAGATCTGTGGCCATGGTATGTTTTATATTTAGCACCATTGTACTCATTTTCTTATTTATCTTATAACAATGAGATGACTTGAACTTGAATAGCATTAACTTAAAGAGGCTATATGCAGCTTTTTCCCCAAAATAAACATAACAATAGCCTTTTTATTTTACCATTTATGACTCAAACATCTCCTGATGAGCATACTGACACATGTTGTCCCTGAGCTCCGTAACGACATCTCTCATAAAGATTTGTGTCTTTAAAGGAGCTGTATGTAAGAAATTTATTTCAAATAATCATAAAATGGTCCTGATATGTCACTAGACATTAAGAAATCACGTTCATTTCAAATACTTGTATCACTGACAACAGTAGTCCGGCCAGGATATTGTCATTTAATAAGTGAATTTGCAGCCCTCAAATGTCATGTTGTCTTTTGTTCTGATGCTCCACCCTCCACCGATCTACCAATCACAAAGTCAGTAGAGTTGCAGCATTCGGGTTGCCATCTCTGCTCTAGTTACCACAGCTGCAGCTACAAATCTATGGGATAAAAAAAATGTTGGATCCTGCAGCCTATCTGGCAACCTCGAGTCAGGGGGTAGGGGATACACCGCAGTATGTTGAAACTGATTGCAGTACCAGTTTTGGCCACAATCCTACATACAGCTCCTTTAAATAGTAAAATAATTCTCTGAAAAACAGCTAGCCTCTTCGCTAACTAACACACAAAATACCATTGGAATGCTACTTCCGCTGCCTCACCGGAAGTTTCACCCACTTTATTTTTTACAGGAGCGCCCCTCGGAAACTTGTGGATATGAGTTCGCATCTCCACGGATTTTTTTTGTGTAACAATGTGTTCAGTTGTACATTAACAGTGCAGTCGATGCTGTTGTTTACATCCGAGTGCCTCCATAATTGGCCGCTCATCCGGGTTACCGCCCAGAACGTGACGTCGGCGAAAAACCTCAGATCACTCGACCAGTCCACCACTGCTAGTCAGCAAGTAGCCTACACTCGCAAACAGAACACTTATCTCAAACAATATATGTATTTAACTGTTCTTACCTATGTAAACATAATGTTGACCTCCTTGCAGCAGATGACTTGTGAAGTGTGCATGTACGAGCGTGCGCTACGAGAGCGAGCAGAAAGGAAGAGCAGTTCTGTTTTTGGCCACAGGTGTCAGTCGCGAGTTTAAATTTCAGGAAAACGCATGTAAAGGACTTTAAAGGAGTAGTTCACTTTTAAAAAAACTTTTGCTGATCATTTACTCACCCCCATGTCATCCAAGATGTCCATGTCTTTCTTTCTTCAATCGAAAAGAAATTAAGGTTTTTGATGAAAACGTTCCAGGATTTTTCTCCATATAATGGACTTCAATGGGGACCAAACGGTTCAAGGTCCAAAAGACAGTTTCAGTGCAAACTGTTCAAAGGGCTTTAAACGATTCCAGATGATGAATAAGGGTCTTATCCACTGAACCTTAATTTCTTTTCGACTGAAGAAATAATTACATGGATATCTTGGATTACATTGGGGTGAGTAAGTTATCAGCAGAAGTTTTTTTTAAAAGTGAACTACTCCTTTAACCAAAACTATTGAAGGAATGCAACTTAGCAGGTTTGCATAGATTTATGGTGATTCACCAAAATGCATGTGACTTCAGTATACAAAATATAGTTTCGAATGAGTTATTATTATAACAATAATTAGATGTTTATTAAGGTTCGCTTGTAGATGTTTATAAAGAATAGATAGAGCATTGCAATGTGTGAAAGTGAAAAAACTTTCAGCAGTTATCAGGAGAAGTTTTTTTTAAAAGCGAACTACTCCTTTAAAGGGTTAGTTCACCCAAAAATGAAAATTAAGTCATTAATTACTCACCCCCATGCTGTACCAACCCCGTAAGACCTTCGTTCGTCTTCGGAACACAAATGAAGATATTTTTGATTAAATTTGAGAGCTGTATAACTACCACATTGGCTCCTAAAGGACTGCCTCTTGACGGCCCAGAAAGTCAATGAAGAAAATGTTTAAATATCCCAAGTGACTACCGTGGCTCAACTATATGTTTATCAAGCGACGCGAATACTTTTTGTGCGAAAAAACAAACAAAAATAACGAGTTTATTCGACTATTTCTTTTCTTCCTTGTAGGCCAGAACGAGACTTCCTTAGATTTCCACGACGCATGCGCGAGATTTGCGATCTGCTCACACCAGCTTACACTACTTCAGATCGCAATTCTCGCGCATGCGTCGTGGAAATCTAAGGAAATCTCGTTTCTGGCCTACAAGGAAGAAAAGAAATAGTCGAATAAACTTGTTATTTTTGTTTGTTTTTTCGCACAAAAAGTATTCGCGTCGCTTGATAAACATATAGTTGAGCCACGGTAGTCACTTGGGATATTTAAACATTTTCTTCATTGACTTTCTGGGCCGTCAAGAGGCAGTCCCTTAGGAGCCAATGTGGTAGTTATACAGCTCTCAAATTTAATCAAAAATATCTTCATTTGTGTTCCGAAGACGAACGAAGGTCTTACGGGGTTGGTACAGCATGGGGGTGAGTAATTAATGACTTAATTTTCATTTTTGGGTGAACTAACCCTTTAACCAAAACTATTGAAGGAATGCAACTTAGCAGGTTTGCATAGATTTATGGTGATTCACCAAAATGCATGTGACTTCAGTATACAAAATATAGTTTCGAATGAGTTCGTTTTTTCACTTTCACACATTGCAATGCTCTATCTATTCTTTAAGATAAAACAACAATAATTAGATGTTTAGGGCTTTTTGATGAAGATGAAATAACTTTTTTTTTTTAAATCTTTTCTAAGAAACATTAAGATAGAATCATCAGTATATGGTTTATAAAACAGATGTTTTTTTCTAGTTTTACAATAATCTACAAGCTTTGTCTCATACAGTATTTGAGTGAATTTGATATTTAAAAAAGAAAAGAAAGGTAACTTTAATAATGTAATGTAAAGCTCGGCTCTAATTATTTGACTATTGTTTTGTCAAGCTGTCTCTTTCTCAACCTGTCTCTCTCAGATAGATGGTAAGTTGTTACAGCCCAAACTTATGTTTTAATGAGTCATTTAAACAGGGAATTTTCATATCTTCTTTTCTCACATCTCAGTATGTGGTGGAGCCCTAGATTGCTGAGAGGAAGAATGCAACCGCAGTGTCTTGGGTGTGGCAAATCAACACTCATACAGGCCTTGTCTTCAGTGGG